GCCCAACAAGACGGTTACCATTTTCGTGAAGTCTGATCCAGATCCCCACCCTGTACTCCCCCTCCTCTGGAATTCAGATATCGCATTGATGTCACCCACGAGAAATTTGTAGAAGAAATTTTCCATGTGGATCACTTCTTATAACCTTCATACAAAGCAAGTTCCATGTCTAGCTGCTGATTTTGGAGAATAGTTGCTGATAGTGATGGAATAGCCAGGCAAGAATAGGATGCGAATCGACAAGATGAAGGGTATATGACAAATCCAAGGCCTCCAACGTTCTGTGATAGAACTTTCTCACGACGAATGATGAGTGTGCCATCCCTCAGCCGCCCAGCGTCCCTCTTTATGGACTTCGCTTCCTGCAAGGCAAATACGTCGCAGTTTAGGCGCCCTGCCGCTTCATAAAAGGCTTGAGGGACGCCGTTGCCGGAAACGCCTTGGCGTTGTAGGTGCAGAGCATGAGACAATCTCAACGGAGCCGTTGACGTGTGCTTTTAGTCCGATATCATGGCGTCTTGCTCAACTTGACACTGCTCTTTATGACATCCGACGGCGAAGATGTTGTAGAAGCAGTAAAATTTCTCCTTAAACATAGAAGCCTTGCCAGGGATGTAAAGTTTTTACCACAGATAACTGACCTATATGGATGAGGGAACCACCTAGCGACTGAAGCAATCAGATGGTAGCGCTTCTGGCAGGGTCTACTCTTAGCTGGGCATCCGAAAGATTGGAAAAGTCGAATATCTCAGCTTGGGAGTCCCCGTTCAAGGATGAACTTCCGCCGTACTACGCAGCCCGACACCCGACTCCTATCGCTTCTCTAGATTTTGTAGTTTTTCGTTGGAGCACCGTTGACCCACGCCACATTTGTTTACCGTGTGAACTGTTTTCACGCTTTAGTAAATTTCAAACAAGAAAAATGCTCCTATTCGTCTTTGGATACTTTGACGTTTTGAAAAAATGTTTGAAAGTTTAAAATATGATCATAGCACCGTTGTTACTTTATCGCCCAGTATGATACATGTAAGAAACTCACATAGGTGGAGGTAAAAAGAATCCGGAACGTGATGAAATCTAGTTTGTCCGCTATAAGAGCAAGCACTGCAGACGATATAGTGAAGAATGCATAGC